TCCTAATGTCAAAAAAAAATGGATAAATACTTTTTTTAAAATCTTTTTAACTTTGATCATGATCATCGTTATCATTTTAATTGTCTGTAATATTTTCCTTTCTGTTTTTATTTTATGCAGAAATTACCACTCTGATAAGAATTTTTCGGAAATATGGTTAAATAGCGATTTATTTAAATGTTAATTTTTCATATTTAAATAAAACTTTCAAATAACCATAAATAACATGGTAATCAAACTGTTAAAAGTGAGAAAAACTGTTTAATAAATATTCTCATCTAATACGGTTAAACGACCAGAATTTTATCGCACTAACTAAGCCCACTTACTGAAACCGCTTAGTTCCTTACTAGCCGACAAAACTGGGGTTCGTGTCCCAGCGTTGACACCACAATATTTCCACTATTCCATACAACATATGAATAGTTTCCAGTGTCTTGCACTCCTCTATCCCCACTACCTAATGAAAAGCCTAACTCCTATGTCCAATTAAACTTCTTTTTTTACTGTTTCATAAGTGGTTCAAAACTGTATTGTTTTATATTTACGGTTTTATAATCATACTAGTTGCAAACAGTTTCAAACCCGTATGGGTAAAAATATTTTTTACTGTATTCGGAAGGACAGACTGCTGCATGTTATTTCACTATAATTTTAGAATGAAAATTCAAAGAGTGTAGTAAAACCCATTTAAATGGGGAAAAAATCAATTTTCAAAATATTATTTGTCTACCTAAAATATTCGATCATTTGGAATATCTTGTAATTTCCAGTTTGATAATTTATTTCTCTATTTGACATAATATAATAGTTAATGAAACTGCTCATTGTTGCAGTACATTCTTAATAGACACGAAATAATATAATGGAAGCACCATTAAATTATCATGAAATTAAAATTAGTGAAGGTTATAACGATATTTATTTGCGAATTATTTATTTATCTCTTATACAATAAGTGATAATTTCATCCCGTGATAATTAAGATAATAAGTGGACCACGTAAGACTACGTAATTTTCATCGAATTCATCTGACGTAATGAATATTAAATAATCAAATATTTAAATACGTGCAATAAACTATTTTTTTATCAAAAAGAGTCAAAAGCTAGCAATTATCACTGATGTATCTTTAAAATATGTTAAGGTCATTCATTAAAATTGAAACAATGGCTATCGCTTAACCAATCAGAAAATTCCATTTCGTTTTTCGCTCATCCTGTTAGAACGATTTGTCGTAGAATGTTCTAATGTTGTTAGTTACCTTCCTCATGCTTGAAACTATCTGTATGCCAACTTTCACTGAATTTTGTCTGATGACTTAGGAGTCTGTAAGGGACACACGCACACACAGACATTAATTTTTTTGTATATATAGATAAGCACACATTAGAAATCAGAATATATTTAATAATTCGTACGCGTAATGGATGTTGATAAAAATGATTTTATGATAGATGTTTAAATAGAAAACTTTAAATTGTTTTTTTTTTTAATTAATTGAATGGTTGAGATAAAATAAAAGGTGCTTTATCCAATGACTTTGTAATCATCCTTAGTATATGCTTACATATAGAAACCTGCTTTTCAAACGAAAGTTTTTTTTATTACCAATGATCACCTGTGTTAACATTTCGTTCATTCAGCAGGGTCTGATTATAGCCTAGGCCCAATAGGCATGGGCCTAGGGCCCACAATTTCTGAGGGGCCTCAAAAATTAGTAAAAAGTCTAATGTAATGTGGGTTTGTTTAAGTATTAAATAAAAAATAATTTCAGCTTACAATAAGAAAAAAAATTCAGCTAATCAGTGACTTTCAGCGAAAATCGCTGATTTCAATTGTTTGTGGTCACCAAACTATTTTTATTTTGACATAACATGTTTTATTGTTTTATATTTTGCTTGAATTTATAGATACATAAACTTTATCTTTGAAAAACAGTCTTCAATTGTCTGCTTTCAAAATTTCTTAGAATGTTTATCTTAAATCATGCAGTTCAATAGATTCTTTTTCATTATTAGGACTACTCTTCAGTAATTTAATTTCAAAATATTTTGTAAGGGGCCCAGAAAATTTGGTGGGCCTTGGGCCTGAATTTGTCTTGATCGGTCCCTGTCATTCAGGCATTTACGGGGCATATATGTTGGCCACTCTTTCAGGGGCACCATATTAGGTGGGCCAACGTTGCTCCCAGAGTAAGGACAGATAGTACAGAGATTGGAGGAACATTCATGTCTTGCCCGGAATTCGAACTCAGAACCTTTCTGATGCAAGGCCAGTTACCTGACCCTTACAACGTTCAGTCGGCTTTAAACGAAAGTAATAACCTCTGTTCCATTTCGGCATGCAGGGCAAATGATTTTGAAATCAAATAAATCATATTGGAGTTTAATAAATGGTTTAAAATTAAATAAATGATGATGAAAACTCCCAGAATTATCTGATAAGAGTAAGAAAGCGATTTCATCAGTTATTTGAAATCTTATGTTGCGTCAAAATGTGTGGTTTCGTAAAGAAATGATTATCAAAAATACCAAATACGAACTCTAAGTCGTATCATCTACATTGTCGGATCATCTACTTGATAAAGGTTTAATTAAGAAATTCTAAAATATTCAACCATGAAATATATATTACAAATGATCCTTATTCTGTTGAATACATTAATCAGTGATAGATGGTGAATAGATTAATCAAATATTCAAGACAAATACGATAAAAATGACGAAAAAAATAACTTTAGTTAGTCAGTCAATTTGTTTAATATGTCAACTTTATCAATGGTTGTGCTATTTAAGAAAATAATAATTATCAGAATATTTTTTTAAATGTAAGTAAATAGGAAACTTTATTAATCATCACTAACTTTATTAATATTCTTATTAATATTCACCATCTAGTACCTAAAACTCTAATGGCAAATATCTTTTAATTTATCCATTTCTTTTCTGCAATTCTACCCTAAGCATTATGATTATACCCTAGTATACCCTAGTACTTTTATAAATTTAAGGGTTTAATGTAGGGCCCATAAACACAAAGAAAAATTGTTCTCTAGTGCATGTACAATATTGGTTAATGAAGCAAAAGTATTGAAAAATATATTTTAAATGAAAACTATAAATTGCTAAAAATTTTATCCTTTATTTTGTAATACACTGCAAAAGATTCTAATAACTTACGGTAAGAAGGACCATCAGGCAGGGTTTAACGTACAAACAGAAAAAGTTGTTAACTAATTACACATAAAATAAAAGCACTCTATCTAATCCAAAATATAGCTAGTGCTACTCATTTTGTCTTTATCTCAAATTCTTCTTGTTAAAGTAGATATTCTTAACTAAAAGAACTAAGCAATTATTAAAAAAAAACACAACAAAACGATAAATTTTTTTTCAAGGAATATCGACACAGTTGCCATTTTCTCAAAAGTAAAGCTTAATAAGAATATTATTACCAGTTCAGATCACTTCAATGAATAAATTAAAAATGCAACACAGGGAATGTCAGTCTTCTTACAGCAAATTCTATATTTAAAGTAAAAAATAGCATTAAACCAATAAAGGTTAAGGACCACGCGACCATTACCAGATTACGAAACCAATGAACAAGCTAAAAAAGCAAACGCACTGAATCCTGTACCATCCAGTCTAATATTATGGAACAAATTTAAAATCAGATAAAATGTGTTAGAAAATAGGTTGTGATGCCATAGTGAGCGAGATGTGGACTACCATGACACTCTATTAACAATACTTATTGCAAACTATACTCATACTTATATTTTTTTCTAGGTCATTTTAGACTTCTCGATATTCTAGCCCGAACGATTTTTATATATTTAAATAGCTGATCTAAAATTCTACTCTTGCATAATTTACTGTCAAAACTGAATAGTGCTGTTCAAACTGCATTTGTCAATAATATTGACCTCGAAAGTTTAGTGAAGTTATGTAACGTATCCATGGTATATATTTCTTATTTTACAATACTTCATATTTAATTCAGTGTATTTATTAATAATCTTATATTACTTAGATTTACTTCAAAAATTTACTTCGAAACATTCCTCAACTGTTTTTTTTCTTTTCTTTTTTTCTTCTTTTTTTGGTGATATGTTATATTTTGTAAGAAGTAATAAAAAATGGCGGAGAATTATGCAACTTTTGATTAATAACGGTTGAGCAAATATACATGGCAGTTTAACTTTTTGACTTTTTTTTGCTGCGATATAAATTATTTAAATAGAAAAATAAATATCTCGAAACTGTATTTTTTTTCAATATATATTTTTTAAAAATTGAAGAGCACCGCAAAAAAGAAATCCGGAACAATTTACGGTGAAAAATACTGACACTCTAAGTGCAGCATCCGTAAAATCCATTTTCACAGTAAAATTTATTACCAAACTTTAACAGTTATGTTTATTTAATTACAGTGATTTAGATATTCTACAGTAAATATTTTTGTATAGAAATTACAGTATATCATATTTTTTTTGTTCCGTGAAGTCTAACAATAAAATATTTTACTATAAAAAGTATGAATAACCTTTAATTCTGGTACTTTTTACCGTAATTTCATCCGCAATTGTTTACTGTGTGGTAGCTAAAACAAAAATCCATCAAGATCACATAATAATGAATTAGACACTCATTTTTATTCATTTTTCATTTTAAGGGCTTTACTATTTTTTGACTTCTTTGTCGGTTTGCCATAAAACTGTTAACTTCGAATTAATTTTTTTTTTTAATATCTAAACTGATATCTAAATAAAATTTTATGTTCTACTTTACATTATTTTTGAAAGTATCTATACACGTCATGTTTACACGTATGAAATATCTAAACTAATTCTCCGGAAACAATCAAAATGCATAAAAGAATTATATATCGCCTTCATAGCCAGGAAACTGCTTTGTAGTTCCAGGAAAAAAGTAGTTAAGCATGATAACTGGGCTTTATTGACAGAAAGTAATTGTTTTCTCTTGTTTTTTAGAGGATGTGTGGGAACTGAGCCTGAGTCCTGTACTCTTAGTGCTATTCGCTGTCATTGGAGGAATCGTTCTTGTTGCCTTCTCTATTATCTTGTACCTAAAGTTCCAGGGAAAAAGAAACATCGCCAAAGGTATTATACCTCTTTTTTATGAGTTCCCGGATGCAAAAGGGTATTTTGTTTCATCTTTTTTCCTAAACTTAATTTCCCAATAGGCACCAACTACTTCAGTCAAAAGAAAAAGAGAAATTTTAATATTTTTCTTCTAGTGTTTTTTTTAATTCGCAGTTCAACAACATTAATCTAAAAATAAATCCGTATGCACTCTGTAGAAATATGTTCGTAAAAATAAAAAAAGGTTGTTAAATTTATTAGCCAACAAGAAACAGTTTAATTTAAATAATTCGTATAACGGTATTATTATTATACGATAGTATTACAGTAGTATTATACTAATTCAGCGAAATGGATTGGTCGGTAAATGTCTCACACTGAATAAGCATATAAAGCAAGTGTCTGATTTTTTGCAAGTTTTAATTCACTTTAAAATGGTTGTGCAAAATTGAGAGTAAATATATAATAAAAAAAATACCCCAACAGCATACATTTAGAGCAAAATTAGTATTCAATAACGTAAAATAATACAAAAACAATCATCGACTCACGGCCTATAAATCATTCCCTCTTTCTCTCCTCCTTTTTTCTTCTTTTTTTTCTTTTGATTCTGCTGTATTCTGTATTCACAATTGATATTATTATTTCACAAAGAAACAGAAGTAATTTATTTACAATGAAAATAAACTATACAGTTAGTGAAAAAGAAACAATAGAATGAAAATTAAAATCATAAAAATGAAAATATCTTAATGTGACTTTATTCAAAAGCATAGAAATAAGTTTATTTTAGCATTCAATAAAATGCAAATGTAGAAACATTGGTAGTGTTACATTGTACTTAATTATTAAGCACAAAAGTAACATATAAAAGCAAAAATTTCTCAGCCATGTGTACAGCGATATGTTATAACTAATTTGTTAGTATTCATAGCAACATTTCTACCGAGGAAATATGTTCCTTAGCACTAAAAGCTTGATAAGAGAAATTTTTACACTTAGAAAACAGCATGGTAAAACTTACATGGTAAAAACTACCAGAATATGGTAAAGTTCACCATGTTTCTGGCTCTATGGAAATACGAAAAAGCTCGGTAATTTTTATAATGTTTATTTTTTACCCATTGGCAAAATGGGTCTTGGTGTGGATTTGATAACGTCCACACACTTTTCAACTGTGTTCAAACGTAATAGTAAACAGTGCGCATGCGTCGTCGTTGCATGCGTTGCTATGGCGACCGCTGCTGCTTTTCTTCTTACTTTCACTATCAGGCATTTTTAATGTATTTACATAATAATAATTTAAAGTATTTTTATATTCTTTTTATTACTAACGAATAATTACTGGCTTGGCAGTGATTTCAATATAAATATGAATGGTGAAGAAGGAAAAGCATCTTGTAACCTTTTGAAACACGTACATAGGCAGGATTTGAAAACCAATCAGACGTCACACAACAATTGAGACAGTTTTCCCCATGATTTGAAATGTTGAATTGAATTAGTCCCTGGTTGTGGCGTTAAACGGAGTCAATCCGGAAAGAAAAAGCATTTGACCAATGGGTAACCAGTGATCATAATATGATGATCACAACTTTTTTTTTCTAGAAATGTTAATACCATCCAGTACGGTAATTAGGGGAGAGTCGGATAGCCCCGCTCACTTAAGGAGTATTGCTTATATTTCTGTATAATACTGAGTAATAATCAACATTTTTGTATGTTTCTATTGTTTTATCATCTAATTAA